TTTTTTTTGCTATTCAGCAACATAACACAAATGCAGCCAGTATGCTACAGCTGAAAGTGTGAATTCTGTATTACACATTATAATGTAGCTTGTACAGAGCATCAAAATTCAGGAGAATTCCATTGGCCTGGTCATACATTGGGAAGATGCAGCACCACTTCCACAAGCTTTCTTCATTCTCTAAATAAGTCCCCTAAATATGTCCCTGTTTGTGCATACACATCTGTTTGTGCTAGAATATTACAAATATAAATATATGGGACATAACTACAACCATAATCGCAAAGAGGTGCTCCGCATGATCTCTCCTCCGCTTTCTCACAACATAAGCCTTACTTTTGGGACATTGTAATGTAGCCTATACATTGAGACAGTGTTTTTTTATGTAATAAACTCAGTAAACACTTGATTATAAATCATAATGAATAATAAATCCAGACAAGACAAGCAGATGAGCCTATAATCTAAACATGACTTTTTAAGGTTTGTAAATGCAAAGAGCATATCTTTTTGATGAACCTTGTATTTACAGTAGATAAGTGTGTGTGTGTTTCATAAAATTATTGATCTGTCCAACACAATTTCATAGGAAATTAGTTGCTTTAGTAGCTATTTATGTTAATTAATACAATCTCATTTGCACATTTCATAGTATGATTTGCTCATCCTTCAATGAGGAGTAAAGTTAGGGGTGGTGTTTTGGAGGTTTGCCTTGTACAATCCTCTTCGGATGTTATCGCTCGATTGAATGGGCGTTATCAGTGGTGATCTCCCAACCTAAATAATTCTGCTTTTTAAAATCACGTTTTCACACAAATCATTCGTACAAACTATGTATTTTCTGACAATGCATTAAATAAATGAGATAAAATAGATATTTTCTCATGAAACCATGCATCTGTCAGTCTAGCAAGATCGTGACAATACATCAGATGCTTTTCAGCTCAGTTAACTTTTTTTCATCTTCAGTTGATTATGTTATATCGCTCCTGCAAAAACAAATGGAGCCTGATGGCGAATAAGCAAAAAAGTGTGCAAAACGCTCACAACCAATAGAAAACAAGCAAAAACAAAGAGCCTCTAACTGCAATAAGAAGGCTTCTGTGCAACCGATCGGTGACTAACAATGAACTTGTAATGAGAGCGATAATTCTAATTTAATATCCAGTAACAATTATAAGACTACTTTAATAAATCTTTCTCCATCTTGCTGCACTGCTCAAAGTTTTAGTCGATGAAAATCAGTCCTAACACCATTTAGCACCATTTAACAAAACCACTCTATACCAGCATATTTAACTACTGACTCCACACTCAATGTTGTTCAGTGCTGTTTAACTGATGATGGTTTCTTCAAGGCCATTAGAGGTTTGCTTAAAGAACACAATAAAACAACTAAGCAATGAAAGTTATTCCACGGAGCACTTTCATACAGCAAACCGGCTCTTTCAACACACACAAAAAACAACATGCAGCATTAAAACGAACAGAGGTCATCATCCACCACGAAGCCTGTCAGCAAGGTCAGCGTAATGCAGACAACTTGAAAATAATAACAATAAATAATAACTAAGCAGCTGGCCTTGATCACACGTGCCTTTCTAAGAGGATCAGCAGAAAAAAACATTTCTTGAGTAGTTTCTAAAATAAAGGCTGAATTAATGGTTGGCTGTGAGCGCACCTTGCAGGTCCAGGTGCTGTTTTTTGTGCTTCTTAGAGTATTTATTGAGACAGAAACCTTCCTGGCCTCTTCGTTGTAATTAATTCAGTTTTAAAGTAGGTCACAGAAGGACTAAGGCTCATTTATCGCGAAGATGTTCCCTTGCGCCGTGTTTTTGCTTCCTTATCCCGCACTCCTGAAGAGATTTAATTGCTTTTTTTAAGTTAAAGATCAGGAGCACGTACCATCTGTACTTTCCCTTGGTGCAATTGTTCGCATATGCTCTTACTTTCCCCCTCCTCCCAAAAAAACTCAGCTTTTTTGGGTCTCTCCCTCTGTTTAATTCATTTTTCTTTTATTGAATGTCTTATTAAAGCAAAGGTAAAAACAATGCTTGATATGTTGCATAAAACAAACCTCATTAGTACAAAAAAAAAAACTAAATAAATAAAAGAAATAACATTTTGTTGGGTTCTGCATGTGTTGCCTGGAGATAAAACACATCAAACATTATTTTTTTTAATTATGTCTTAGTAATTTGTTTAAAACCTTCTCTCTATATTTTTGCTCATATTAAAATAATTAGCTCCTAGGTTTACTTGTCATGTTTTATATAAATTAAAAGGTAGATGCTCTACTAACATACACACACACACACACACACACACACACACAAGAACATAATTAAGGAGTATTTTTCAACTACAACAAGAAGGTCGCTGGTTCAAATCCCAGCTAGACCAATCGCCATTTCTGTGTAGAGTTTGCATGTTCTCCTCGTGTTCGTGTGGGTTTTTTCCCAGTACTGGGTTGCAGTTGTAAGGGCATCTGCTGTGTAAATCATATGCTGGATAAGTTGTTGGTTATTTCCACTGTGGTGACCCCTGATCAATAAAGGGGCCAAGCCGAAGGAAAATGAATGAATGAATGAATATCTAAATAATGAGATATATCAAGTTACATTTACCTGAGAAGCATACTAATATATTAAATCTTATGTTATACTTATAAAAATTAAGTGATTTTATGATCTAAAAATTATCAGCAATGTAAGAAAAGTAATCTTGTATTTAATTTAAATTATCTTTAATTTTATTTTAATTTTCTTTCTTTTATTTTTGACAACATTGATTTTCTGTTTAATTAAATTTGACATTATTGTTAATATTAATATAAAATAATTAGATGAATCTTTATATATTTTAAGTCTATTCACTAACAAACCTGTTAAAAAAACATATCATTACATTTGTTTATTTATAATTGTATTTATATATTATCACTTTATTAGGTACACCTTACTAGTAACAGGTTGGACCTCCTTTTGCATTCAGAACTGCCTAAATGCTTCGTGGCATAGATTTAACAAGGAACTGGAAATATTCCTCAGAGATTTTGGTCAATGTTGACATGATAGCATCATGTTGCTGGAGATTTGTCGGATGCACATCTACGATATGAATCTCATGTTCCACCACATCCAAAAAGTGCTCTATTGCAGGGGTGGCCAACCCTGTTACTGGAGAGCCACCTTCCTGCAGATTTCAGTTGCTACCCATATCAAACACACCTGAACCAATTAATTAGGACCTGAACACCACGTGATAATTACAGGCAGGTGTGTTTAATATGGGTTTCAACTAAAATCTGCAGGAAGATGGCTCTCCAGGAACAGGGTTGGCCACCCCTGCTCTATTGGATTGAGTTCTGATGACTGTGGAGGCCATTTGGGTACATCGTCATGTTCAAGAAACCAGTCTGGGGTGATTCACAATTTATGACATGGAGAATTATCCCTGCTGGAAGTGGCCATCAGAAGATGCATATACTGTGGTCATAAAGGGATGGACATGGTCAGCAACAATACTCAGGTAGGCTGTGTCGTTGACACAATTGGTACTAATGGGCCCAAAGTGGGCCAAGAAAACATCGCTCACACCATTACAATGTGCTTAATTTGTGAATTGCGAGGTCCCGGAACAGATCGAGGTAACAGATCTAGCATGTTACCCGAGGATGGAGAGGTGTCACGCACAAAAGCGGAGAGGGGTAGTGGGGGAGGTAGGTGATATTGGGGGCGTTGGAAGGTGGAGGGTTGTCACGGACGAAGGACGAAAATGAAGAGCAGGGAGTTGTTGCGAACGAAAATGAAGAGGCTTGGGGAATCCATAAGAAAGTGAAAGTGAACAGCGGATGGGAAAGGAGGGTGGTTGAGGAGGGGGATCGGTAAATGAGGTGCCGGATCAGATTTCAGAGATCTGAGATGTTCCGATGTTCCGGCACAAATTAAGCCCTGCCATTACACCACCAGCAGCAGCCTGAACCATTGATATAAGGCACGATGGAGCCATGTTTTCATGTTGTTAATGCCAAATTCTGACCCTACCATCTGAATGTCACAGCAGAAATCGAGACTCAGACCAGGCAAGGTTTTTCCAATCTTCTATTGTCTAATTTAGGTAAACCTGTGCAAACTGTAGTCTCAGTTTCTTGTTCTTAGCTGACAGGATTGGCACCTGATATGGTCTTCTGCTGCTGTAGCTCATCCGCCTCAAGGTTCGACATGTTGTGCGTTCAGATCGTCTAGACCATGCCGAAATGCTGGCATGTGATTGGCTAATTATTTCTGTTTAACAAGCAGTTGGACAGGTGTACCTATTAAAGTGGCCAGTGAGTGTATACAGTATGTATATACACAGTATAAAATGTTTTTTGAGTGAAAAAAGTACAAAAACAATGAAATTAAAAATGTGAACATAATTAATAAAATATAATTTACCCCAACAAATGTGGATTGTCATTTAATTTTGGATTGTGGATTGTTGGAGCAGGTGAAAAACGAATTAAATAAGCTTTTTAAAAAGGCAGGTACTGTTGTGATGTGTGCTACTCACTATAGAAGAGATGATGGACAGATTTGTCAGTATGATGAAGTACAATTGTCATCCCCTTTTTGATACAGTCCAAGCGTGTGTAAGCTCTTTTAGCTCAAGATTAATTCAGCCATGGTGTTTCAGTGAATGATACAGGAGGTTATTTTTACCAACAGTGATCAGATTGAATAACCAATAAGCTAAAGTGTGCAATATGAATGCAATTTTATTAATAATATTGCCTTTTATATACATGTAATTAATTTTATAGTATGGAGACTTTTGCTGTGACGTGAATTTCCATTTGGGATTAATAAAGTCTAAACAAACAAACAAAATATACCAAACAAAGCTTATGTAATGAGGTTGTGGTGTTTATAAAACCGTTTTAACAGCCTGGAGTCATGCCTTAACCATAAATCCTTCACAAACTTTCCCTGGCACATGTGAATTGTCACTGTACTCACCTGTGCAGGAGTAATCATCAATACGGACGAAGCCAGTGTGACAGACGCACATAAAAGAGCCTGGTGTGTTCATACAGACGGTGTTCTCCCTGCAGTAGTGTTTCCCCTCCGCACACTCGTCGATATCTGCAAACACAACAAAACACACGCTGTACTCTGACCTCAACCCGACAACATCCTCAAAGCATTTGGGAAGAGGAACTGGCAAAAAGCAGCATTCACACCGCAGCTGTGATCAATTAGCAGCATTTGTCAAGAGTGCTGGAAGATCTAGTCATTACATCACCGACCAAAAACACTGCAGTTCACACTGATTAAGGGAAAAATAACAGGAACGCTAACACCATGTTTCAATGAATATTTAAAGGGAAGCACAGACTTTTGAATTTGGTAATTTAATCAAGCATTTGTTGCCTTGAAACCCTCAAATTGGCTGCTTATTTTCTATGGAACAAAAACTAAACTACTAAATAAACTGCTTTCAGTGGTTTAGTGCTTAAAGATACTGTCCTTTTAGATTATTCTAAATCATAAAATTACTATAATATGCTGGCAGATATTTAGGGAAAATGCTAATTGAATATATTTGATTATCTGAAAAACATTTGTGAGCTATTCTCCTTTGAAAAGGTGGTTTCTGTGTTGGAGTGTTTGTCTTTGTTTTGGTCTGGATAACTCCGTCTGCTGCCCGTTTACCAATTATATTTGGGAAACCTGGGTTGGAAAACCGAATTTTTTATTTCAGTTAGGGAGGCTATATTAATATTTGAGAAATTGTCTCCTCCAAAAGACAGTAACAGTCTCCGAAATATAGATTCAGAGTTATTAAAACCTATTGTATAATTGAACTTATTTTGCAAATTATTCAAATATTACAAACGTAAACATCAGCTGATCGGCTAAAAGTGTGTGGCTTGATCTGCAGACATGGTCACGTTTTGTTGGTGTCTTTAATCTGGCAACCTGCTTGTATGTCATGTTGAAGAAGGAGGAGTCAGGTAAAAAAATTAAAATAAAAATAACTCTCAGGGCTTTATCATGCAGCTGGTGCAATAAGGCGCGAGATGTTTGGTGCGATTTGTTGCTATCTCAAAACAACGCAACTCAAATTTTCACGTTTTGCTCTACGTTGTTTAAATAGCAAATCCATTTGCGCCACTTTGTGGAATCTCGGATCTAGAAAGGAGGTGTGTTAAGGTACATTAATGGCAGGTTGCTATTTTGAGGAACTAAAAAAGACTGCGCCATTGACCAAAGAAAAGCTGGTCTAAAGTCCAGCTTATAGCGAGTTAGTTATGCGCCTATGCAGGTCCAAAACGCTTACACATTACTTAATACACACAGAATGTACAGCAATACACAAATATCTTTACATATGAATTTTCTTTTTTAAGGATTAAAATGTTACAAAAATTATTATTTTCTACATAAATATAAAAAACATTACCTCTTTGCCTCATCTCGGGGGGGCTTTTTTTTGTTTTTTTTATGACAATTTGCATTTGTATAGTGTTATTATTATTAGCAGTATTATTTATTATATGTATATTAATATTTATTTTAATTAAAATACATTTAGCTTTGTCCATCTGTCGAGTTTTGGAGATGTATGCATCACCATATGGAGCACAAAAATAGAACGTGTATTTGGATATAACTTAGTTTTTATACCACACTTCGTTATTATTGCTCATTTATTTGTTTACTGAAATTAGAACTGAATTTAAAAATATTTGTGAAATAAATCTTTGCGCTTAACAAACAAAATTAAATATGTAGGCTAATGGATGTCTTCAGTGGAGTGCGTGAAACACGTTTTTTTTAATCCATAAAAGTAAATGAGTAAAGAGTAAAAGTAAAGTAAAGAAAGCATAAAGATGCCGAATGGAGGAGGTTCATTCTTTATCCTCGTGCTGCAGATGGTCTGTTTAACGGTTGTCTTTAGTGCTAGTGAAGCATTCAGTTTTTCCACTTACAAAGTCCGCCATGTATATGCACCATAACGTGACGCAACTGACTCTTAAAGGGAATGGGAGACAAAACACTGATTAATTTAATGCATGTTATGCTCAAAACACACCCATAACTCATTAAGAGAATAAGCACAACCATGTTAAACCATAAACCGGAGAGCAAAGTGTATTTTTTGGTCCCTTAATGTTTTAGTGCCATGTGCTTTAGACTTTGCACCTAGATCGTTAAAATAAAGCGCTCAGATTTTTTTTATTTGGACCGCAACACGTAGTTCAACCACTAGGTGTAAAGCCTACATACTGCACATACTGTATGCACCTTATTTGTGCGGCCCAACTTTTTTGAGTAGGGTCTGGATGCAGACACAATGCAATCTGAGCTGCATGCAACCCTAACCCTACCCCTCACAGTGACATCACTAGCTCCATTGAGTGCATTGTGTCTGAGACTGCATGACTGAATGTCTCAGCTTGCATATGCAAGTCTGCACTTTTGACTTTTTTGGGCATCTACCTGAAAGTTTGATAGAAAGATGGCAAAAAAATACATGTAGAGGTCTGAATATATTTAGAAAAATAATGCAGAGCGCTGCATGTGTGACTCAGTTCAGTCCTTACACTGCATTAACAGACCTTTTGCTTTCTGTCCCTTTCACTCCCTCACTTTCTCAGCCTCCAGCTTTTTCTCTTCCACTTTTCATAGATATACTCTCGTCCTTCGGTCCACCCACTCGCTCCTCCTCAAGAACACTTTATATAATCTTCTTCTTCTTTTCTCTGTTTATATCACCCCAGCACAAAATCGTGCTCTTAATCAGCATTCTGTCTCCTTTCCAGCAAAATAATCAGTTTATTATTCTTATTACAAAACATATTTAGTGAAGTAACATTTGAGTGAAGATCTGTTATACATCATTCATTCATTCATTCATTCATTCATTCATTCATTCATTCATTCATTATTGTTCTTTTCTTTCACTCACTTATATTCTACCCATTATCACAATCTTCCAACCAACCATCCATTTTTATTTATTCATCATTCATCAATTTATTCTTCTATCCATCATTCCATAATATTTTTCATACATCATACTGTACATTCACTCATTCATTCTTGTTCTATGCTAACATTCACTCATTTTCTATCCATAATGCCATTTTCCATCCATCCATCAATCAATCAATTTTCCACTGATTGATTGATCCATCATCCATCCATCCACTCATTCTCTATACATAATTATTCCATCCATCCATCCATCCATCCATCCATCCATCATTCTATCCCTCCACTGTCTCATTTTCCAATCCATCCCTATTTATCCTTCTATTTATCATTTATCATTTTTTTTTCATAGATCATTCCATCCACTCATTCTTGTTCTAGTCTTACATTCACTCATTTTCTATCCATAGATCCATTTTCAATCCATCCACCTATCCATCCATCATTCTATTTTTCATTCATTCATTCATTCATTCATTCATTCATTCATTCATTCATTCATTCATTCATTCATTCATTCATTCATTCATTCATTATTGTTCTTTTCTTGTATCCCCTTACATTCTATTCATCATTAGATTCTTCCAACCAAACCATGCGTTTTTATTCAATCACCATTCATCAACATATCCTTCTATCCATCATTCAATCAATAGTTTCATCCATCATACAATTCGCTCATTCATTCTTGTTCTATTCTTACATTTACTTATTTTCTATCCATAATGCAATTTTCCATTCATCCACATATCCATCCATCATTCCATTTTCCATTTATTAATGTATTCATTCATTCACTCATTCATTTATTCCTTACATACACTCATTCTCTATACATGATTTGTTCATCCATCCATTTATCATTCTATTCCTTCATTGTCTCATTCTCTAATCCATCATTCATTCATCAATGTATCCTTCTATCTATCATTCATAAATTTATCCTTCTATTTACATTCATCATTTTTTCATACATCATACCAGTCAGTCATTCATTCATTCATTAATTTTTTATCCATATTGCCATTTTTAATCCATCCATCATTCTATTTTCCATCCATCCATCCATTCATCATTGTTCTTTTATTCCATGCACTCATATTCTATCCATCATTATGTTTTTCCAACCGACCATCCATTTGTAATCAATCAATTCATCCTTCTATCCATTATTCCATCATTTTTCATACTTAATACCGTTCACTCATTCATTCTTGCTTTATTCTTACATTCACTCATTTTCCATCTATAATGGCATTTTCCATCTATTCACCTATTCATCCATCCATCTATCATACATTTGTACATCCGTTCGTTCATTCGTTTGTTCATTTGTTCATTCATTTATTCATTCATTGTTCTTTTCTTTCATCCACTCATATTCTATCCATCAATACGTTCTACCAACCAATCATCCATTTGTATTTAATCATCATTCATCCTTCTATCCATCATTCTATCAATTTTTCTTCTATCCATTCTTCCACCAATCCGTTTATACATCAATCCATTATTCTATTCCTCCATCGTTTCCTTCTTCAATCCATCCATTCATCAATCACCACACTTGTCTAGTGTAAGGTTGCAGTGACATAATAACAATAACTAATAACAACCTATGAAATCCAGACTTACTCACTAACACAGAAACATAGCAACCCTATTCTGAGAGCTGATATTTATAGATCCAAACAGTTGCTTCAGCAATGGACTGATAAAATCAAGTTTCCATGTTGAAATCTACACACACTGTGAATCCATCAGCACAGTGTGTTTCGGTACCAAATAGTCTAGAGAAATCCTTATCTGTATTATCTGTCGCAACGTGTCTGCTTTGGAGGATTCAGAGCTCAAAGTGAGGATGAAAAAAAAACTCAATCATCACTTCTGTAATTGAAAGTGTAATGCCTTATTCAGCCCGTTTTTGTTCTTCAAGATATATATCCCAAATTAATAATTTAAAGTTTATTTCAGAGCAGCGTCGGCACTGGTGTTATTCGTTCGCCCGGGGCTGTCACAGACTACAGTCTGCAAGAGTCCAAGCACAAATGCTGGATTCCTATTAAAATGACAGAACAAAGTGTTTCATACAGAGGCCTTATAGCCAATTATTTAAAGCCTGTGGGTGTATTATCATGCTAAAATAAAACATGCAAGAATAACTACACAAAAACATGATGATTGATTGCCACAAAAACATAAACACACAAAAAGATTTAGCCCTTTATGTGAAAGGGAAAATCAACACATTCCTAAATGCTAGAAAAATCCAACAGCGTTTAATAAAGAGTGCTATTTTGACCCAGCAGGTCCTCTCAGATTTAAGCAAGTCCTACTGATGCAGAATGCTTTTGAGAGACTTAGAGGAGCATTTCCACCTTCTATCAACATCAGTTTTAATTGTTCAGATCACAAGTAGTCAGGCGAGACGCATTACAGTTTCCACCTAGTATTAACATGTTCAAATGTATCTCTCCTTGTTGACCATGTGTTCAGATTGTCACCAAAATCCTTCCCTCTTATTTCTTCACAGCCTGCATCATTTTTGTGCGGTTGAGTTCTATTGAATGAACACAGCCAAGCTGCACGGCTTACAGGTAGGTAGAAAAGCAAGCCAACGAAAAGGATACGGATTGCAACCGTATTTAGATTGTAATCTTTTCAAGGGTGAATATCATGTTTTGTTGCACTTTCTGATAACATGTTCGCATAACTATAACGTGTCGGTCAATAGGTGTTTATTTGTGGCTGTTTTAAAGGATTCAAATTCAAGTTTGCTGGATATGGTTAAAAGAAGACAACCTCAAAGAATTATAGATCCTGTTTTAAAGGGATAGTTCACACAAAAATAAAAATTGACCACCATTTACTTTCTCTCATGTGGTTTTAACACTTTATGAGTATTTTCATTAACTGAAAAGAAGATATTTTAAAAAAGCTGGTTACTTGCAGCCAATAACATCCTTAGTAGTAAAAAAAAAATACTATGGAAGTCAATGGCTACCAGGTTCCAGCTTTCATCAGATTGAAGAAAATCAAATGTGTTTGGAACAAGTAGACAGTGAATAAATGATGACGGAAATTTCCGTTTTGGGTGAACTGTCTCTTTAAATGTTTTTAGTGCCATTCACTTGTGATTACATTAAAATAGGGAGCAAACTTTTTTATAATGTCCTTCCCTGTTGTGACACGGTTTTATTTTCATCCAAAGTTTGAATACTGCATATAACATTTGCATATAAAGAACTGTTTTCCTCTCATGTGTAATGGAATAAACTTGTCACCTCCTAGGAAACTAGCAAAATATATTATTAGTAAAAATGATTGTTTCTGTAAACATTTTTTCAATAAGCTGGACCTCACAGCAGCAGATGACACACTAATAACAAACATGTATTCTTGCATTTGGAGGCAGCTGGATGATTTTTTTTAAAGAAATTCAGTCATTTTCCTTTGGCTTAGTCCTTTATGTATCAGTGGTCACCACAGCGGAATGAAACGCCAACTATTCCAGCATGTGTTTTACGCAGCTGATGTCCTTCCAGCCGTAACCCAGTACTGGGAAACACCTATAAACTCTCACATTCACACACACACACACACTCCTACTATGGGCACTTTAGTTAATCCAATTCACCTACTGTATAGCGCATGTCTTTGGACTTTGGGGGATGCCAACACAGGTAGAACATGCAAACTCCACAGAAGATTAAGCCAGCCAGGACTCGAACCAGGGACCTTCTTGCTGTGAGGCGACAGTGCTAACCTTTGAGCCACTGTGCCAGCTTTAATTATATTATTATTCACAGTCATTTTTGAGGATGGACTTTTGTTTGCAAATTTTTAAAAATAATATTTAAAATATTGTGCAAAGAGAGTACTAGTTAATCAAGTTAGCCAATCACATCGTCTGTATGAAAATGGCTCATTGTCGTATATTGTTCATCTCGAGTGTATAATTGCTTAGAACTTATTTACATTGCATTTCAGTCTTGAATTTTACTAAGTGACCTCCTAAATTGTTCATCAAATTCAATGCTGAAAGTGACATAAACAACTGAAAAATATAAGTTTTGCAATCAGACAAATGTTCCACAGCATTTAAAACATTTAAAACATTTGAAACATTTTCAAAAACATTTTTACAATTTTTCAATTGATAAAATGATTGATTGTTGCAGTTTATTTAAGGTCTTAACATTTCAATTAACATTTCAAATAGCTGTCAGGCAACTGCCTTGACATTTTAGAGGGATGCCAAAACTATTAATAAGTTATATAGCAGAATGTTTTTGACTCTTCTCAATCGATAATTAGAGTTAAAGAGTATTTTGTAGTCTTTTAGTGAAGTTTCACAAACAAATTTCGAGAGGAGCTCAATATGATTTTGATTGATATGATTGATAGCGACTGGTTTCTCATCTGTAATCATCGTTACGCCAATCGGATTATTCCAAACTCACTTTAAATAGCCTGTCTATCATTACTCCCTTATTTTTTGAAGAATCCCCCCATCCACCCTGTTTTCCTTTCTCTCCTTTTTTAGGGGGCGCTCTTGAGAACTACCTGATCTCGCACCCCCTTACATGCTCATTGACCAGCCAGAGCCCTGGGCTCAATTATCTCCGAGCTCAGGATCTCTCCCATGACAGCATGCCAAACCTATTTTTTTAAAGCAATGTCTGAGTGCAAATTCTTGAATGCTATTTTTTTATTTTTTTTGGATATTACATAGTCTAACATGTATGTAAGCATATATACCCCCCAAAAAATTTAAATTTACTCACTATTTACTCTCCCTCAAGTGGTCTTTTATGATTTTTTTATTCTGTTGATCCCAAAGGAAGATATTTTGGAGAAAAGCTGGAAACCTGTTGATATCTATAGTATTGAATATTCCAAATACTATGGAAGTCAATGGTTACAGTTTTCAGCTTTCTTTCAAATATCTTCTTCTAACAGAAGAAAGAAAGCCAAACAGGTTTGAAACAAGTGAATAAATGATGACAGAATTTTCGGGTTTGAGTGAACTGTCAACAAGTGCCATCATGTGTTAAAATTGTAACGCTTGAAGCTTACGCTGCTATTCCTAACCAATAATTGAAAACAGAATGCAGTTGAAGGATGGCGTAGGGCTGGGCAATCTCGATTAATTACTTTCCATATTGAACAATAACGATATATATTTTGATATTTGTTGTTAATGCCTCCATATTTAAAAGAGTATCCCAACAATGACTGAAGCCAACAAAATTAGACGGTCTATTAAATAGCATAACCTATTTTTTCAGTGGCCGATAATATTTAGGGGCTGAAAATTCAGTGCATCTCTAATATTAACACATTTCTAGATTCTCATTGTTGCACATTTCTGCCATGTGATTGGCTTTTAGATCAATATAGAGTAAAAAGTCTATAGCTTATCATCATTATTGACATAAATTTTATTGCGATTTGATATAATATTGTTAATCAGTCCAGTCCTAAAACTAGAAATAGTCAGGAAATATCAGTCACACTCTCTCGGAGCTCCCATGTATGTTTAGACAAGGTTACAGCCTATTAAATAGCAGCGATCCACAGGAACCCTCCTTCACATCTGTACACACACGCTCGCGCAGCGTGAACTCCCGGGTTTACAATGCATTAATTACAGCTGTAAGGATAATAGCGGCGCTGAAATATTCATTCAGCGAGACACTAAGTAATCACCAGTCAACAGCTTTCGTCAGCAACTCCTCCGTCTGTGATTGCGGGCAATTTAGTGATTTGCGAAAGCCCTGTTATTTGCTTATACAAAAACAGAAATTTGGAGCAAGCAGATCTGTGGGGGGTCAAATAACAGGTGCCAGGGCTTTGACGGATTTGGAGTCTCATTGGTCTGTGTGGCGTTTAGAAACATACATGGTTTGTCTGTGGGAGTTTGAATACCTTGGCAGTAGGCGCTGTCGTCCCTGAGCGCGTGGTATCCTTCTTTACAGCTACAGCAAGCTCCTGCTTCTAGGTTAATACAGTCAGAATTTTCCACACAGTTGCGACTGTAACCCTCGGTGCAGAAATCATGCCCTGGACATGAAAAAGGGAGAGAGTTGAAGTGTTAAACAATGCCCAAATCTGGCATCTATAATTGAAGCATTGTATTTATGCATTTTATTCCCTATTTTGTGCAATTTTCCAGGGTAACATATTGACAGTATTTATTTGTTGATGTGCTTTTGGAACGTTGGGATGTTTTGCATCCTGTGGTGTGACAATATCTAAAGACATTTTAAACAGCATTTTGTTAATTATTTTATAATTGTTAATAAATGGCTTCTTGATGAGATTTTAATTATATTTTTTTACGTGTTTTTTTTTTTTGATAAACATCATTCATCTTCATTAGTTTTCCCCAAGATACTAAAGTGTGTTTTCTTAAATCTCACGTCTTGTTTTTTTAAGTGTATTTTGTCTTATTTTACTTGTTTATTTATATTTGTTTTATTTATATTTGTTACTTGTTTATTTCCATTTTTAAAATGGAGTAAAAACGCTATGTAAAATAAACGAAGTAAATAAAACAATATTGTATATTTCCGACAGTTTCTGTTAGCTTGTAACAAAACAAACAAATACATAAATGAAAACGCAATGCTAAACGCAAACCAAAATGTATACCGTTTGACATTGTGAAGTTAAAAACAATAGATGGCAGTAAAACTAATATGTTCAAGCATTTTTGCTCTCTGCTCAGAAAGTTTGTGCGAAGGAAATAATATGAGGCGGGGGAAAAAACTATATTACAAGCAATTATAAAACAAAACTGAACAAAAAAAAATGAGATGGCAGTAAAAATTGTTGCACCTTGCATTTGCTCAAGTTTATGTGAAGGGAAAAAACATAAGGCTGGAGGAAGAACTTTATTTTAGTGCTTTTAATACCAAAACACACCATGCAATACACTTCCTGACAGAAATCTTGTTGCCTATCCAAGTTTTAGAAACAACAAACAATAACTTGACTCTTAGTTGATCATTTCGCATCAGAAGTAGCTTATATGAAAGGCAAAGGCCTTTAGATAACGCTTATTTTACCAAAGTAAAATAAGATCATGCCTTAATTTTTAATTATTTAATTAGGACAGTAAAGTCTGACTTTGCTTAGACAAAAGTCTCTTCACTTAACATGAATAATGTAAAGTATAGAGTATAAAGTCATGCTGTAGTGGAAAAATAACTAATTTGTTTATGACTCCCATGAGCTTGGAGGACTGCATCCATACAATGACTCAAATAACTTATTAATAAAGTCATCTGGAATGGCAAAGAAAGCGTTCTTGCAGGACTCCCAGAGTTCCTCAAGAATCTTTGGATTCATCTTTATTGCCTCCTCCATCTTACTCCAAACATGCTCAATAATGTTCATTTCGAGTGACTGGGCTGGCCAATCCTGGAGCACACTGACCTTCTTTGCTTTAAGGAACTTTATGTGGAGGCTGAAGTATGAGAAGGAGCGCTATCCTGCTGAAGAATTTGCCCTCTGCTGTAGTTTTTAATGTAATGGGCAGCACAAATGTCTTGATGCCTCAGGCTGTTGATGTTGCCATCCACTCTGCAGCTCTCTCGCACACCCCCATACTGCATGTAACCCCAAACCAAGATTTTTCCTTCACTAAACTTGACTGATTTTCTGTGGGTTCCAATAGGTCTTCTTCAGTATTTGTGATGATTGGGATGCAGTTCAACAGATGATTCATCAGAAAAATCCATCTTCTGCCAATTTTCCAAATGATCAACTAAAAGTCAAGTTATTATTGGTTGCTCTTACCACTGGGATCAATGAAAAGACTTTTGTCAGGTAGTGTATATCTCAATATAGTAGCTATATTTACATTAACCAATTTTTATGTGCATTGCAGACTATTGTATAAAAAATTGCCAAAAAATGCATATTTGCTCTTTAAAACAATGTAATACACAAAACTAAGTAGGATAAACATTTTATCTGATGAGGAAAAATGAACTACTGTACGATGGAAACACATTTGCCGAATAAATTCCAGCATGCACATCAAAAAAGGCATACGATTTTGTTTTAACTTATCAAAACATGTTGGAAAGTAACAGACATATTTAGGTGGACTAGTAGTTCTGAACATTGACTACAAATGTAAAATATTTTTTTAAATATTTTTTTTATATAATTTTAATATAATTTATTAATAATTTTTATTAAAAATTTTATTCTCTTAAACTCACTAAATGCTTTTTTTTTTTTTGCAATTTTTATGCAATATTCCAGGTTTGCACATCACCTCAGAAACATAGCTAATGAGAAGTGTGGTGAAATCGAGCAGACAGTATGTTGCCCTGTGTAGTATCACTGTTACACTGAGGTGTTAAATGTGTGAGGGGTGAAAAATAGACGTGTGCTGTCATGCACAGACATGGCCGGGTGTTGAGCACAAATCGAGTTTGTGTGTGCAGTGGTCAAAGGTGGCTGCCCTTAATATGACTCCATCAGTGCAGTAGAGGGTGTGTGTTGTTTCTGTGTGTGTCGCACCTCTGCACACTTTGCAGCAACGATCGGTGAGTGTGATCTGCTCTGACTCGGGGCAGTTCAGATCTGGACAAGAAGTCATTTCCACCCTACGCATACTTCGATCCTGCAAACACACAAAATCTAGAGTTTATACAATATTATTCCTTAAAATACTCTGTAAACTTCAGAATAAAGCGTTAGCTTTTAGCATAGCAGGAAAACTAGACATAATATAAAAAATAGGAGCTTAAGGTAGTTTTTTAAGTTCCAATTTAAATTCTGATTTCAGACTTCAATTTTAAGACCAGTTTCGAATTTTGCACAGAATTCAAACTGGGCTTGGAATTCAAAATCATAACTAGGCTCAGCATAATTCAAATTCTGCCTGGAATCCCAATTCATAACATGTCCAATTAGGAATTTTAATTCTTTCTGGAACTAGTGCTGAGCCGATAAACAATATTATATGGAATTTATGATAAAAGAGATCAAATTTATGCTGATAACGATGATAAACTCTTGACATTTTCACTCAATATTAATCCTAAGTGCCAATCACACATCAGAAATATGCAACAAGGTTGGCGCCTCTTGGTGTAGGGGTTAGTACGTCAACACATGGCACTTTGGTGTCAACGGTGACCCAAGTTTGATTCCCACCTCAAGGTCCTATGCCAATCCTTCCCCTCTCTCTACTTTCCAGTCTATACTATCGACTTTCCGATCAATTAAATGTGAAAACCTCCAAAAAATTATTATAAAGAAATATGCAACAAGAGGAATCTATAATTGTGTTGATATTAGAGATTCACCAAATTATTGGCCGCTGAAAATTATCAGCTGAAAACAGGTCATGCTGCGTCACCCAGTATTGTTTAGCATGCTAGTTTCACTTTCCCGCCAACAATTCCCTTTCCCGCCAGCAGTACATGCCTTCAGTCATGGGTGGAATACTCTTTTTAAAGTGGAAGCATTCAAAACTTATATGAAAATTTTTACGTTATCGTTCGATGCAGTAAAAGAATTATCTAGATATTTAGCCCAGCTCTACCTGGAACTGAAATTGCCCAAATCAAATGTGGTCTGAAATTCAAATGAAATTCCGAGTGTGTCTCAATTCAAATTCCTAGGTTATTCTAAATGAGGCACATCTCTGAGGAGTGTCTGTTCTATTAATTTTCTATGGAAAGTGAAAATTCGTTTAAGATATTTATTATTATTATTATAACATTAACCTCTATTAGACTAAATTCATATTAAAAACCAATTCTAATGCTTTGGGAAATAACACTCGTTGTAGACGTCATGGGACAACTGATCGTGAAGGAACGTGTAGTCTTTCACTTTTGTTACGCAGGTCAAGATTTTATCGAGAAAAAAATGGCATAATCTGACATAGTGACTTTTGTAACTGACAATAAAAATCATGTGATCTGACCGGGGCTTTAGAAAGAATGCCAAATCTGTCAGAAATTTCAGTTCATATCATATAAAAACTTCAAAATCTAGGTGTAATCAAGTAAAAAGTGTGACCAAACTGAATTCACATTAAAATTCTATCCTGAAACTAAATGTATCCCCATGCTTTGATGCCCATAATTCAATTTCTCAAACAGCCCCAGACTGGAATTCTAATTAATAGCCATGCACAGACTGGCTGTTTTCTCGCAAGATAAATGTGCAAAAAAATGCAGAACATTCAGATCCTGTCAGGCTCTGGCGAAAAAGCTTCAGACCGTCGGCCTGCAGTTCACTTGTACTTACCCTGCATTCAAACAGCAGACAGTTTCCCTCAGAGTCGTGAATGCTCTTACGGTCACCTTCCACATACACTCTTCCTCTGAACAGACACACGGCTACAGAGAAAACACACACAATCAAAAATAAGCAACACGGTGCACAGGAACGAATAGGATAGAGACGAAACGAAGCAATTTAGAGCCCAAACCAGTAAGCCATCGATCGGACAAGCATGTTAGATTAAGCCTACCAGAGCGCAATGTTAAATAAAGCCCTGGTCATCAGTCAAACTGCTATTAGCTCCTGCACATTAGCTCTGCTCACTCAAACACAACACGCTGCACACTGGCCCTGAATTATTAATGATACCAGAGAAAGTGTGTGACTGCGCTGTCTGTGTGTGTGTGTGTGTGTGTGTGTTGACATTCGTATTTGTGGCAGTGGTAACCTAGCAACAACTGGGATGTGGTCAGTTTGTCATCAAGACCGCAGTATGATTATATAAAAGATTTGGGTGGGCAGATAGATAGTGAGGGAAGAATTGAGGTGATTGCAAGAACAGGCCCTGAAGTTGTCAAATATTTGCAGCATTGTAGATGCATGGCCTCATTTTATTTTTGTGTGTGAGTGTGTGTGTGTGTGTGTATGTGCGTACTCACGCTGGCATTCTTTACAGCAAGCTCCAGGCATGTAGATTGGAGCGGTATCAGGGGGGCACTGAGGCGGTGGGCAGAAAATACTCTCACACTCCACGGTGCCGTTCTGCAGGTAGAACATACACACAAACACACACACACACACTCCATCAACATTAATGAAAGAGCTTCACAATTACAGGCTTCTTTAAGATAAGCTGACGGAATTAGACTTTCAGGAGTGTTGATAGCAACTCGGATTGTCAGATATTCACAACTGAAACAAAGCCTCGCAAATGCTCAGGTGTGAACAGACCCTGAGGATGCAATCCCTCAACGACAGCCATGAATGTAGCCTGGCTTGCCAATTTTTCAGCTCTGTTTATACACAGAACATTTGTCATTTTTAATGCCAGGAAAGGCAAACAAGATATTAAAAATAAGACAAAAATATTATATTTAGAAGCAGGGGTGTCCAAACTCAGTCTAGAGGGCTGGTGTCCTGCTGAGTTTAGCTCCAACTTGCTTAAACACACCTATCAGGAAGTTTCTTGTACAGGGATAGGCAAACTTGATCCTCGAGGGCTGGTGTCCCTGCAGATTTTTGCTCCAACACTATTCAAGCACACTTAATAGGGTCTTCAAGATCACTAGAAAGCTACTGGCAGGTGTATTTGATTAGGGTTGGAGCAAAACTATCAAGTTTGGACCAAACAGGATCAGGTTTGGCTATACCTGTTCTAGTATATCTGGTACAATGGTGCTCAAACTCGGTCCTGAAGGGCCAGTGTCCGGCAAAGGTTAGTTCCAATCCTAATAAGACACACCTGGGCTAGCTAATCAAGCTCTGATAGGCTTTCTAGAAACATCTGTGCAAGTGTGTTGAGAAAAGTTGGAGCCAAAATCTGCAGGACACTGCCTCTCCAGGACCAAGTTTGGGCACCCCTGATCTAGTAAGAGCTTGATTAACTGATTCAGGTGTGTTTGATTAGGGTTGGAGCAAAACTATACAGGACACTGGCCCTAGAGGATCAAGCTTGCCCATCTCTGTTCTAGTATATCTGGTACAAGGCTGCCCAAACTCGGTCATGAAGGGTCAGTGCCCTGCAAAGGTTAGTTCCAATCCTAATAAGACACACCTGGGCTAGCTAATCAAGCTCTTACTAGGCTTTCTGGAAACATCCAAGCAAGTGTGTTGAGGCAATTTGGAGCTGAAATCTGCTGGACAATGGGCCTCCAGAACCGAGTTCGGCCACCCCTGATTTAGTAAGAGCTTGATTGGCTGATTCAAGTGTGTTTGATTAGGGTTTGAGCAAAACTATAAAGTTTGGACCAAACAAGATCAAGTTTGGCCATTCCTGTTTTAGTATATCTGGTACAAGGGTGCCCATATTTAGTCCTGGAGGGCCAGTGTCCTGCAAAGATTAGTTCCAACCCTAATCAAATATATCTGGTCTAGATAACCAAGCTCTTATTAGGCTTTTTAGTAACATCCATGCAGGTGTGTTGTTGAGGCAAGAAGGAGCTAAAATCTACAGGACACCGGCCCTCCAGGACTGCGTTTGACCACGCCTAATCTAGTAAGAGCTTGATTAGCTGGTTCAGGTGTGTTTGATTAGGATTGGATCTAATCTCTCCAGGACATGAGGCCTTTCAGGACCGAGTTTGGATACCCCTGCCCTAGAGGGACATCGTGATGGTAAAATAAATGATTATATAACCACACGGGAGGATTATGAATTATGTTTGAATGCTTTTTGGATTCTTTCACAAAACTTTTGTATTCCCCCTAAGAAACTTTGAATTCGCTCTTTGTGTTGGAAATACAATGAGGATGGAAAAAAATTTGTGCTTTTGTAAGCAAACACTGTTTCTCAGGGGAAGACAACAAAAAGAGTATGCAAAATTTTGTAAGAGTGTGCAAATGTTTTGCAAGTTTTTAGGGAATACAATACTTCTTTGAGAGATTGCAAACAGTGTGTAAAATAATACTGTTTTTTTTTTTTTTGGAGTGGGAATGCAATACATTTGCGAAAGAACAGATTGCACATTTTCTCACAACGCTTTTGGGATAAAAATCTGATTTTTGGAAGAATGCAACACTTAGATTGTCAAACAAAAGCATTTTTGTAGTTTTTTATGGGAAACAATATATTTGCAAGAGAACAAAAACACTACACTCTCAGAGTGTAAACTGTCACTGGGGTGGTATAGTACCTTTTCAAAAGGTACACATTTGTACTTGAAGGGTTTATATTGGCACCTCAAATTTTTAACCCATTATTTACTTGTTTAAATGAGTCTGAATTAATATTTATTCTTTTTTTTTTTACTTAATTTCAGTAATATTATTAAGTAGTATGAAAAATCCATATGATTTATTTATAATACAGTTTGTAAAAGTGTAATAGTGTTTGTAATAAAGTAATATTTTGAGTCCTTTAGTAGATATATTATATAAGAGACCTGCTTTGTTTACCAAATAAGTGGATCTAACTGGATTTGCATTGTAAAAATTAAATAAAAGTTAAAAAGGTATTCTTTTTTATTTCATATATTAAGTTTTTAGTTATGACACTCCCAAAATCATTCTGCATAAATTCTCAGATTGTTTTACTAAATTCTTTGCAGAAATAGCACTAATGACTTCACCTATAAGCAACTACCACAACATGGACAGTAAAGTTTCCCAGTTGCTTTAATGCTGAAAATCACTTTTGTTGTTAAAATTCAAAAGTAGCCCCTGAGGTTGAAGTTTGGGGAGCCATCACTGAACTTAAAGGGATAATCCACTCCAAAATAAAAATGTACTCATTATTTACTCTCCCTCGAGTGGTTCAAAACCTTAATGAGTTTCTTTCTTCTGTTGAACTCAAAAAGATATTTTGAAGAGGTATTTTTGTATTCTTCTTTTGTGTATGACAGAAAAAAAGAAACTCACAAAGGTTTGAAAGCAGTAAAGGGTGATTTAAGGATCATTTTCTGGTGAACTACCCACTCAGTGATCCATTCCCAATATTCCTAAATACGCTCCATCCAAGCAATACATGTGCTTACTGAGCATGTGCAGTTTCTGCATCCATCAATCCAAGCATCGCTGTCCCTAAAGATCTCTCCATTCAGGGTGCAGGTCCTCTCACAGTAACAGCCATCCAAGTACTTCATCTTCTCTTCGGCAAGAGCCAACTGCAGCACAATGAAGATATGAGGAAGAGGGGAGGGGGCTGATGTTCAATATAGCGGGAGATCGTATAAAAAATGACGAGTCGGCAAAAAAGAAATGTTAGATGGAGAGGAAAATATGAGATTTATGGTAAAAGCAGCATTTAAACAGACCATAAAACATAGAAAATGGGGACATCCAACACGAAAACAATAAACCTTATGTAGCGGAAAATGAAATGAGTAAATCCCAATAAAATGGGACACATGAAACTGGCTGAATCCTTTTATTTTAACTACTAGCCTGCAATAGCATGATTAGCATGCTAAAATATCACTCTACACCACAAAGAGCATTAGCATTTTATTTACAATTTAGCTGAAAACCTAAAAACTCACAAATAATTTCGACAGAATTCAGCAATGAATGCTGGGACATTCATGAAGACCCAATCCAAAATATACTACAATATAACAAATTATTCATTAATAATTCAGTATTTATTAAATATTTTAACCATAATTAAAATGTTAATTAACCTTGAAAAGGTTGCAAAACATATTTCTTTTGCTACTAATTCTAATCTTACCTTGTTTGACGTTTTAGCCAAAATATCTTGAAGTTCCATGATCTTCTGAACCAGCCCGTGGAAATCATTACAAGTGGGACAGGCTGCCAAAGTAGTGGAAGTGCATTAATGGCATTTCCAGAACAGTGAGTTTGCAGAGTGCATTTATCTTCTATTTTTCAATGTCATCTACCAAAAGCAAGCACTTACTACGGTTGAGATCTGGACACTGGACGACATATCCATGGGGTACGACTACTAACTGAACATCTTGCATCACTCCCTAAGGAAAAAGACATCGTCAGAGAGGCAAACTGATACAGATTTATAATCTATTTTTAGATGTACAAAACCATGTTGTACCCTGAAAAATCCATGGGCGTCATTTCTTTGGCCAACCCAGATGTTCGTTCCTCTGGGGAACTCCATAGATGGTGTCTCCACAATCCGTTCATAAATTCTGAAGACAAATACAAATAAAAAAAGAAACATTTGCTTTTAGAATGTATTTAAATCCATCTCGCCATTATCCGCTTGTTAAGTCGTATTAAATATTTCTGGGTCACTACTCATTTGAATTCATTGATGATCATTTTTTAGTCATATCACACATTAAAGTGAATTTTATATAAAAATCATAGTGTACACAACAGTCTCTGGGCTGGTCTGCATAGTCAGACATCAATATTTTAACAATTTCTAAAAAAATGTATCACTTTCTGGCCATCACAATATATATTGGGATCCTGATTTTCGAAAGTATTAGAGTGCTTGGTAAATGTTTATTAGTATTTGTTTAGTTTCCCCATACAGTTCACTCAGAATCCACTTCGCATGACGTCACACTTAGCAAGCAAATTGTTTTGCATTTTTAAATTTGCTGTACATTTCGTTTTAGTTATTTTCATCAATGGTTTTGTTAGTTTAACTTTTTTTTTTTTTTTTTTTTTGTGAACACAATTCTGTTTGGGTTTTATAAATTTAATTTTAGAAATTTTAGTTTAGCTGAGTTTACATCTTGTGTTGACCAGAGCAAAGTTTGGTGTTTGGACAGCTTACTTTAACTCTTGTGCAAACCTCATAGTAATAAAAATAAAATAATTGTTTAAACAAACACTGAATCCAAAACCGTACTGTACAAATGCAACAGAAAAAAGTAAAAATCTTTAAGAATTTAGACAAATCTCTTAATATTAAACAGTATATTTAGTTATGTAGTAACACCCTAGTTTAAATTTTCAGCTCACGAAATAAAGATAGACAAAGATTTTTGTTTATATAGAAAATATCTTTTTGATTACGAACATCTTTTGACTTATTTAGAATTTTTTTGGTGGTAAAAACGCATTTACAGGTACTCCTATCGAGCGCAGCCATTTGAAACTTTTTGGCTTAAGACTTCCAGTCTAATTCACTTCCATTAATATTTAGACGTTAAAAACAGCTTGTTCTGCTGCTTGGTGTTGCAAACAGATATTTTCTTATGATATTTTTAAACTTTTTATGTATAGTCATGCACACACTTGTTTGTAGAGCAAGTAGTTTCTGCCGTTTATTATAGGCGACAAAATCTGAGTTTAATGAAGAATAAGGTCAATACACTAAAGAAAATGCAAGGTTCCACAACTCCTTCATGTTGTCCCAACACAAATCAATTAAGTTAACTTAATAGTTTTTACAAATTTAATTGGATTGAACTTAAAACAATTCAGTTGTCCAAAAAACTTAACAATTGTATTGTTTCAAGTCATTTTAAATAAGTAGTTTAAACAAGAAGCAAAAAAGGTACTTCTATAAACAGCCACAGAATCAGTGCTTATTAATTCTGAAAACTGAATTTAGTTTCATTTTCATTTAAATTCAGTTAGGGAAAATGTTTTTTGACCAATAGTTTCAGTCTTTATTTTTTGGTTACTAAAATGGCCTTGCTGGTGGCTGTTTTGTTATCAACAGCTATTCACCTGTTGCAGTCAATATGGAGCACCACTTGGGTGGCACTGAATGCCAGCGAGATTTTGTGCCAGTGTCCATCTGCTAGACTATAGGGGAAGACCTCTCTCTGCTGCCGCTGGTCTGGGGTTTGGAAGAAGAGACGGATCTCATTACGCAGACCGCTGCTCTCTACCTCCAGAAACCTGAGGAAGCCAAGAAAACAGATTTAGTCATTGAAACGTCATAATCATGATTCAGCTGCTTACAATCTAGGAACTCCAGGAACCGACTGCAGCCGAAATGTTTTGCTCTCAGGTTCTCGAGCATTAGAAGTCTGCAGGTTAAGCTGCAAGAACGGTGGTTATTAAATTCTGGAATGTGGCAGGGAATAAAGCACCACTGGGAATATGTGAGTTCTGTATGAATGTGAAGAGGAGCAGTGATCCATGAATCAGCTGGCATGGATTCTGTGTGTTGACCTTAAAGAGGTGTAGAATCAATACTGTGTGCATTGAAGAAATGTCAGTGGACATCCCATTCCAAAATGTTACAGGCAACCTATCAGGAGAAGAGATTATGTGTTCCTCTGTTGAAACAGGACATTATGATAGAAAAAAGAAGATGGAAAATAAATGATGAGAAGGTTTTAGATGAGCAAAAGCCCATACCAGATGCATGAATGCACAGATGAATAGTTAGGCTAACAGATGGACAGATTGACTGATAGATACATATATATTTGACAAATTCATAGATGATAGGCTGAACAAAAAAAATTGTAGATAGCCCGGCAGAAAAATTGACAGGTGCATTAAAATATGGACAGATAGGCCATGGATGGATGGAAAGATATGCCTTTAGTTGGATGGACAGATAGGCCAATGGATGAATGGACAGATAGGTCTATGGTTGGTTGGTTGGTTGGTTGGCTGGTTGATTGGATGGTTGGATGGATGTGGCCAGTGGCTGGATGGACAGAGATGCCAATGGGTGGATGGACAGTTAGGCCTAAGGATGGATGGACAGTTAGGCCTATGGATGGATGGACAGATAGGTCTATGGATGGATGGGCAGATAGGTCTATGGATGGATGGATAGATAGGTCTATGGATTGGTTGGTTGGTTGGTTGGTTGGTTGGTTGGATGGATGGATGGATGGATGGATGGATGGATGGATGGATGGATGGATGGATGGATGGATGGATGGATGGATGGATGGATGGATGGATGGATGGATGGATGGATGGATGGATGGATGGATGGATGGATGGATGGATGGATGGATGGATGGATGGATGGTTGGTTGGTTGGTTGGTTGGTTGGCCAATGGATGGATGGACAAATAGGCCAATTGATGAATGGGCAGATAGGCTTACGGTTGGTTGGTTGGTTGGTTGGTTGGTTGGTTGGTTGGTTGGGTGGATGGATAGTTGGATGAATGGATAGAAAGATAGACAGAAAGATGGGTGAAAGCAATGAATAATGAATAATAGGCAGTTAGACAGACTGACAAAAGGATAGATGGGTAATGAGTTGGTTAGAGTGTTAGATAGATATATTGACTGACAGATTAATACAATTACATGGATGGATAGATAGATAGAACCTTAACCAACACAAAGAACAACTAAAGAACCAATAGTTGGGGCTATATAGCACCTAAATTGTTTCCCCTATTATGAGCAATGCAAATGCAAACAATGCAAAATAGCACCTCAATTACAACAAAGAAATGCTAAAGAACAATTTTTGTGTTTGCATGTAGATAGAGAAGCTTTTGGGTAAACTAATAGATTTATAGAGAGACTAGTAGATACATAAGTATAGTACACACACCTCTGTTCTCCATAGTGTATGGACAGCAGCACTCCTGAGCTGAATTTCTCCTGTTTGAGCGTCAGCAGAAGAGTGAACTCAGTTCTTCCTCTTAACTTCTGAAGAATCCTCTCTGCTGCCTTGAGAGAAGCTCTAGCATTCCTTGATGAACCTGATGGAGTGACAGAAAAAGACAGAAATGCATTAAAAAACAGACACTACCCAACACAGACCCAGGCATAAGAGTCTTCATCAATACAGAGCCGGCCATTAACAGCAAGGCTTGTCAATAGATGTTGGACTGTTCTGGAAATAAAGAAGTAAGTTAGAACATGCATGACATCCCATTCAAATAAAACATCACTGTTGAATCATTAGAAAAATGTATAGGATTTGAAAATTTAGTGCGTAATCGGTGTCATTCTGATACATTTGCTCATTCAACTCATACTCAGATCTAATATATGAAAACGAATATACTAGATCACACAGACAAAATATGCTCAAGCTAGCCTTTACCACCACACCATCGTCTGCTCAAAATATGTATAACACAATCACCAGCTTGTAATTGAATTTGTTCATAATATGCCAGTTTGTTAATGATACAGTATCAAGCAAATGTGGCAAGGAGGCAAGAAGCTTTAGTTTCCAAACCATAATGGAACGATCTATGATGGCCGCTTTGGGCCAATGTGACCATCTGGTGATATTTATGTTTAAATATCCACTTTGGAGCCAATGTAAATATTAAACTAAGCATAATAAATGAGCATGATAAATATCAAGGGGTCAAAGTTAAATCATTTAGCGCCCGCTGTTAGAAACTAAACCACCTACACCTGCATTTTTCATTATTAATTTAGCTTATTTTTAATGTGTGCTAAAAACAACATGCTAATTTTAGTAAAATAATATCACATAATAATAGTACAATAATAATATCACATAGTAATAATAATAATATCACATAATAATAGTGCAATAATATCACATTTAATACAATAATAAGGTCATGAATTTATAGCAGTTTGCTAAATGGCAATTATTGCTCAGATGGTTAGTTAAAAAAAATAATAATTTAAACAATATTAAAAGACATATGATATACAACGACATAAATTAAATGTAAATTTCTAAATTATTTTAATAAAAAATACAAATAATTAAATGATGTAAAAATGAATTAATTAATAAAATAACATTTGATTTATTTTTGTTATATATAAATCAATTAAATTAATATTTAAAATATAGTGGAGCAACTACCCTTGGAAATGAACGAGAACTCTTAACAGACTGATTTTCTCCAAGTATTATAGACCTCCTCGGGGCATACTTGGAGGACGGTTTTAAGGATGGTATTCAATTTGATCAATTTTAATGAGGATGCTAGAATGGCATGTAGGTCATGCCTTGACACTGTGAGTGGCAACAGTAAAGAAATCAAACAGAGACAGAAGGAAGGAGGAAACACAGTCTGCTTAGGAGCACTCAGAAACTGACGAATGTTTATGTCAGTCCTGTCAAAACGGGAAAAAAATAAAATGAAACGACTGGGCCAGAGTAAGAAAAAAATCAAATCAAGGCCAGCTAGGGGAACGCTAACGTTGTGTAGCTATAGTCAAGTATTGCAAAAAAGGTGTTAAAATATGATGACAATGTGTTATTAATAAGCTGCTAGATGCCAATTCATGCTAACAACATAAACAAGTAGAAGCATTAATGATAACAATGTTAATTCAAGGGTTTGAAATAGTAATTCACATTAGCAGTAGGCTATACTAACCATGCTAAGAGTGCTTATTCACAGTATGTTAGCATATTGGTAAAACATGCTAGCAATACGCAGCACTCTAAAACATGCCAGCAGAGTTTAATAATGCAGACAATGTGGTTAAATGCTTCCAAAATTATGTTAAAAAGCAAATGCTAACAACAGGCTAATCAATGTTAACCATCAAAACCAGGGGTGTCCAAACTTGTTCCTGAAGGGCCGGTGTCCTGTACATTTTTGCTCCAACTTGCCTCAACACACCTGCAAGGATGTTTCTAGGAAGCCTAGTAAAAGCTTGATTAGCAAGCCCAGGTGTGTCTTGGGGTTGTAACTTTGCAGGACTTGCTAGAACCAAGTTTGAACATGGTTTAGATCATGACATGATCTAAACCAATCAAGAAACATTCTCAGTTTAAGAAAAACATGCACATTTATATTATAATGTGTGAATAACGCTAACCCCCTTGGAGCAATTACTTGAAGGACACTTTTAATTTCTTTAATGAGAATGCTAATATAATGTGTAGGTCCTGCATTGGCACTAGACAATTTTCCATTTCTCTTACAATTGCACAAATTAAGATTTTAAATTGGAAACATGTCAATTTAGCAAAAATGCCCATATTTTGCACAAAAAAACTAAGTGTGTATATAATGTGAGGTGATATTTAATGCAACTTGAAAAAAACAATGTGTAGCAAAACTGCAAGGGAAACAGGTCATACATTGCACATCAAAGTCACATGCTCATTGTTTAAAGATATGGATATTAGTAAATGTTTATTTGCAGAAAATTGCTTAAATACCTTTTTAAATATTGACCTATTGATCCAGAAGTTCTGAATACAGTTTCTCTAAGAAATAAAAAACACATTTGTGACTCCTCCCTAATAGAGAAGAACTGCCTAATCATTATTGCTTGTCAGACACGTACGTCTGATTTTTTTTTATTTTTAAAATGGCAATGTGTTGGCTGCGATATAAATTAAACTACTTTACCTGTCATTATGACTTTTTTTAATCTATCACAAGAGAATGAGTTTTAGTTTCATAACACCCGGTTCATGTAAACACCATAATAAAAGGGGACCTATTACGCCTTTTTTTAAAGATCTAAAATAAGTAATAATAAGATCTATAATAACTAAAAATAAGTCTTTGATGTCCCTGAAGTATATATAAGTTTCAGCTCAGAATACCCCAAAAATAATCTTTATAAGTCTTTTTATAAGTCACTTTAAATTTAAAAGAGGGTGGGGCAACAAATGCCTATGTGTCAGCATAGTGGCAGATTCAAAAACAAGACTAAAATCCTATGTTAATGAGGAAGAGGTTGTCCCTATGAGCAAGGTTTTAAGTGTTTCTGCAAGCTGTTTTAATGAAGGGTGATAATAAAAAATAAAGGTAATTTTTTTCCATTAGAAGATGGTTATATTCACAGATTATTGCCACACAATTGTGTTTAAACCTCTTATAAAGTGATTTTTGCACAACAGGCTCCCTTTAATAGTTAATTAATAGCTAGTTTGAACTACATTTTGAAAATATTGCAAATGCTCTGCACAAATATGTAATGGAAACATGCTGTGAGTCTAGCAAAAGTAAAGCAATAAAACAGAGACAGAAGGAAGGAGGAAACACAATCTGCAGAAACTGACGAATGTTTAAATCAGTCCTGTCAAAACATGAGATATACGCCGGGGCAAAATATGAAAAAAAATCAAGTCGCACACACATAAAGGCCAGCCGGGGAACAGTAATGTTGTGTAGCTATTGTCAAGTGAAGCTCAGGGGAGCTGTAAGCCGCAGCTGAGAGCCTATTGTACAGCGAGTTTCACCGGCGCCATTAATCAAATACATCGTATGACAGTGAGCTTCAGCTAACCTGCTAACCTCTACCATCCGCAGAGGACACCCAGCCTGTCTAATGGATTCCAGGACAGTTCACAAGTGTCAGCATTAAAGTCCTTCAGGGGAAGGGATTGGAAAACACTTTTTTTTTTCTTCTGACAACTCGCCTGGTTCCGTAATTCCCACCGGATCGACACTTCGTCTCAGATGTGCTATCCTTCTGTGCGTTCATTATCGAGGCTTGTATTAATGTGCGATAAATCAAAGGCTAGTCGTTTGATGGCAGCATTTAAAGGTCAGAGAGCAGCCAGGGGACTGCTGATGATTATCTGCTAGAAAATTATGCAGATTACCCGGTAATGACTCTCGAAATTGATAAATAAAAAAATAAAAATAGACAAAACATAATAAATAAATGCGGCATGGTTAGTTAGCATAATAATCAATAAACATCTGTAAGCATAAAAAGTATAAATAAATAAATAATAAAGTATAGATGCATAATAAAAATTATAAATGTAATGCATAATTAAATTTAATAATATGAATTTTAAGCTTTTAAGTCTCTAAATAAAATAAATGACTGAATAAATGAATAAATAAATAAAGTAAAATCAAACAATCATCTGCAAATATAGTTAGATACATGTTTAAATATAAATGCAAATATATATATATATATAT